CAGCATTTTCTGAGAAGCCACCATATTGCAGCATTCTGCTAAGTACCTTCTGTGTTTCCCTCATTTGATTTTCCCAACAGTCCTAAGGGGTAGCTGCTCCATCCCTATCCAGGCAGAAAAAAAAATCCCAGGGCTCAGAACAACTCATCAAAATGTCCAAAGATACAGCACTCATCAGCGGCAGACAGCACAAGAGCGCAGATTCTCTTGCCCACCCTAAGCACCCCCTGATGACACTGTAGTGGTGCCTCTGAAAGAGTCTAGACATAGGGCAGCACTAAGTCTTCCCTGTCAGTGACCAATTGATCAGCCTCCTGATACACAAACCAGAATTCAGGCCAGATTCGTTTCTGAACGCTGTGCTTGGGAAGAAGATCTGGATGGTGGTGGAAATGTTTTCAGCACCTGCCTCAAAGACAAGTGACCAATCCAGCATCACACAGCAAGCCAGGGACTGGGCCAGGACTGCACCCCAGGTTTTCTGGTTCCCAGCCCAACATTCTTTCCATTATTACAAACTGTTTTTCCTGATAAATGACATCAGCTAATGATTATACCTAATGATTATACGGCTGTGTTTTGGAGGAGAATATCAGCTGCTTTAAAGAAAGTCATAGCACGTAATCTATACATGTGATAGTAGTTCATGAAACATCAAAAAAAGTGCATCTAAAAGATGACAAATACAAACAAGGCCTATTCTTAAGTTAATAGTGTTATACTTCTGTCAATGGCATACAAAGTTTTGACAAAGTGCTTTGTTTATGCAAGATATTATCATTAGGGAAAGCTGGGTAAAAGACCACTGAAACTCTCTGCGCTCATTTTAAACTTCTTCTGAGTCTTACACTATTTCAAAATAAAACATTATAACAATAAGAAAGTAATGCAATAGGAAGATGGGCTGGAATATGTGTTCCCACACTGTGTGTAAAGTATAATGTTAAAAGATCCAGTGTAAGAGAGATACATAATGGGGTTGGTCCCTCATAATCCTGCAAGAGGAGAAAGTCAGAGTCACTTCTAGGCCAGGCTGTCTCCAGTCTTCATGGTAACCATGCTTTGAACTTGTTCCTCTGCACCTAGGTCACTGCCACTACTCCTTCAACAAAGCTAGAACCCTCAACACGACCTCCGATCCTTTGACCTCCAAACTTTTACCTAATGGTTAAAAACATGGGCTTTGGTTTGGGGCCTGGGTTTAAATCTCAGCTCTACCTATTATTAGCATTTTAGCCTTGGGCAAATTACCTAACCTCTCTTCTAAGTCTTAGTTTCCTATAAATTTCAGCAATCTCACAGATGGCTTTTTAGGATTAAATGGAAAAACATGTATGTTTCAGAGGACCTAGAAGATATTAAAGACTATAAATGTTAGACATGATAATGTTGAGGAAGATGGCAAGGAGGAGGATGAGGACAGTCACAAAGTCCTGTTCATTTTGCATCGTAAGCATCTCTCAAATCCCTTCACACCATCCCCATTCCGCTCATTCAGGCTGGGATATTGCAACATCCTCCAGACTCTATGTACCCAATTGTTAATTATCGACTTTCTAAAGGAGATTTGATCCTGTCCAGCATGACATAGAGCATGCAGGGGTTCCTCGTTGCCTGATAGCTTGTGATTCTCTGTGTGTATGTCTGATCGCTCCTGTTAGACTCAGATTCCCAAAGTTAGGACCTGTGTCTGATTCACCTTGGGATTTTCTGGGCAACCTTTTCAGTGTAGTCACTCAACAGTATCAGTGATGAAATACATCTTTACGTGTTTCAATCTTGTCATGGCAGGTCTTTCGTATCATTCAGATCCTAGTCCAGAGGTCATTCCCCAGCCATGCCCTCCTAGACATCCAGTCCAAATCGTCCCTCATTACATCATCTGATCTTCACAACAGCCCTGTGCAGGAGAAGGGACAGTTGTCATGTGTGTAATTTGCCCTTGGCCTCAGCTATATATTAAGGTATTGAATATATGTTGTCTGCCTAGTTCTCATTCTGAAGTTGTCCCTCTTGCTTTGTGAAGTAAAGGAGAGATATTTGGTAACTCCATGGGAACTCAGTCTCTTAGAGGCCTGGGTAGCCACTAGACCACTGAAGAGTGCTCCTAGTGTGTTCTAAGGAAGCCACTGATCATGGATCCGGGGAAACAGGCTGTCATCTTTAGTTCTTGGCATCCTTTTGCAGCCACATGCTTCACTGAAACCAATCTCCAGGCTACTTGGACATCTACCAGGAAAAACTCTTGAAGCTTTTCCTTCCCATGTCTAGACTGATCCAGAGCAACCATGCTGTGCAGGAAATCTGGTGGGGGTGGGTCCATCAAATTGTGCAGAGCATTTTCATATAATGTCTGATTGACAAGATGAAATGACATTTTGTCTGTGTCTGTGGTTATCTGAAGCTGTCCATGCTTGTGTAATTTCCTTGTGATACTTCCATTCTAACTGGCCTGAAGCTGAGGATTCATGTGGTTAATGTGACATCTGTCCCATCTTTGGCGACTCTCATTCATTCTTGAAATATCTCCTACACCCTAGTTACAGGAGAGAGACTCACTGGACGGTTCGTTGTCCTCACCCTAGATGAGGCCCGCTTCACACTGTAGCCATTGTTATCGCCCAAAAGCAGGTCTGAGCATGGCTGTCCCCTTCTCCAGACATCTGGGGGTTGCTAATGCCATAGGATGAAAAGCTAATTCTTCAATCTGGCAAACAAGATTCTTGACAAATTCCGCTGAACTCTCCAGCCTTGTATTATCCCTCCCAGCAGGCTTGCACTTCAGCCGTGTCATTCTGTGTTCTTTCCTACCTGTGTACACATTGCTCCCTTTAACAGAAGGACCCCTATGAGAATGAGCTCAGTCTGGACAAGTCGAGTCCAAGGGTAGCAGCAACAGACTGGAGGTTGGGAAGAGAGGGAGTGTGATATGTCACTAGACAAGGCAGGCAATGGGTGTTGACCACCTCTCCTGTCCACCTTCCCCCTTGATGAAGTCAGAGGCATCTCCTTGATTCAGTTGGAATCTTGCCTTGATAACATGGGTTCTACTATTCAAAACCCCTGTTGCTGGTGACATTTTTTTTTTGTTTCAAAGCACGGGAGAATTCAAGGGGGGTGGGGCTATGGATATCATGCATGGAAAACATACTCCTTATTTTTTCTGCTAAAATGTGCATGGGGCAGGGTGAGAAGGATTTGAGGGAGGAGAAATACATAGCAAACATGGCATTTGGAAAGGCTAATTGGATGTAGATGAACATATTGAGATGATGTCCTATTACTGTCAGAGGTAATGTTTTACAGAGACGCTATTTGTGAAGAGAGACCAGTCATTATTGATGGGTCAATGTGCACTTGGGAATATGGAAGCAATAATGCAGAAGGGCAGTGCCTGCAGAAAGGTTTCAATCAGGCATGCAGCTAGAGGGGAAGGAATGTGAGCACCTTTTGATTTGACTCTGCCCACAGGATTTGACCTATAGGACCTACGTGAAGAGACCCAGGGTTGCATAACAAAATCTAAAGTGGACTTTGACTGGTTGCTGATCACTTTGCCTTTGAGATGTGGTCTAATTATTGCAGTTAGAATGCAAGAAAGAGACAAGCCTGTGATTTGGAGAACATGTGTCTCAAGAATTAGAATACCATTCTGATTTCAAGTATCTTTCCATATCCTCATGACCCAGTGAATAATCCTGTACTCACAACATTTCATTGTCCAAACCATAATCTACTCAATTCCATCTGCTCATGGAAAAGTGACAGAATTCTTTGTTCAGAACATGAGTCCCAATGTTAGATTCAGGAAACATGATCCTGAGCCTTATGAGGTCAGGAGTGGAAAGCTGCAGAAGTGGAAAAAGATTTTGTGAAGATCATTCCATTTTGTTCCAAAGTTTAATTTTTGGTTTTTTAAAATAAGGCCTGCTCTGTTGCCCAGGCTGGAGTATAATGATGCAATCATAGCTCACTGTAACCTCATACTCCTGGCCTCAAGTGATCCTCCCACCTCAGCCTCCTGAGTAGCTGGGACTACAGGTGTGTGCCCTCATACCTGGTTAATTTTTTATTTTTTGTAGAGACTAGATCTCACTGTGTTGCCCAGGCTGGTCTCAAAGTCCTGAGCTCAAGCAGTCCTCCCGCCTGAGCCTCCTAAAGTGCTGAGGTTACAGACATGAGCCACCACGTCTGGCCCAAAGTTTAATTTTTGTATGCAATATAAAATGGTCCCAACGGAAACATGAATGAGGAGGGAGAGATAAAGCAAAAAGATCCTAGAATGCGTAATGGGAAGTTCGTTTTGTGGGGGGAGGGAATTCAGGAAAGTCAGAATTCCTTTATACACTGATGAGACCGGCTCCACAAACAGCACTCTGTGATTTAGCAGGTTGTGATCCCATTTGTTGATGTTTCTGGCTCTTGCTTACCTTCGTCCTTCTGCTCTGGGAAAAGTGCTCTGGGGTAACAAGAAAAAGTCCTGTTTCTCAGGCCTCTAGAGCCACAGTTACCAGTAGAGTTTCAGCTCCCAAACAATTCAATTTCCTAAGAAACTGGTCCGGGGAACACTACTTTTGGTGATACTTTGCTAAGTGTAGCATATATGAGACGACTTTCAGGTGTGGTGCTTGTCATGATTCAAGAGAGATTCTTTGTATAAAAATTCCAGCACAGACCGTCTTCTCCCCTCCCAGAGTCCAACGGGGATTTGTAGAACAACTTCACTGTACAACCTGTTTAAGTGAATTTCTAGCACCCTACATCTTCCCCAGTCTTTTCTCCAGTGTTATTTTTCTCCTGATCATTTACCACCACCAAATAAACTCTGTTTTTTATTTACTTATCTGGTTTACTGTCTGTGGCTCCCACCCCACTCCTAGAACGTACATTTCATAAATAGCTAGAAAAGAAGTTTCTTGCCCAGAGATCTTTTCCCCTCCTTCCTCCTGCCTGCTCCTGATACATACTATAAGAGTCTTTTGTTTTCTGCCTATTTGCAGAGCATTGGCTGTGATGACTACCTAGGCTCCGACAAAGTCGTGGACAAATGTGGGGTGTGTGGAGGAGACAACACGGGCTGTCAGGTTGTGTCGGGGGTGTTTAAGCATGCCCTCACCAGCCTGGGCTACCACCGCGTCGTGGAGATTCCCCAGGGAGCCACAAAAATCAACATCACGGAGATGTACAAGAGCAACAACTATTTGGGTAAGCTTGGTCTTTTTCCAGAGAAAGCCATCTGTCCCTGCCAGATGATGTATTCCTTCAGAACTGTGAGATAGACACAGCAGTGTCCGAGAGTCCTGGGGCATGCAGACAGTGTCCCTGGGGAATGCCAAAGTACCGCCTGGCCTGCGCCTTGAAATGAGAAGCTTGGGTGGAGAACGTTAAAAGAAAAAAAGTCCTTCTTGCAGATAAATATTTAATATCTATACATTTAAACCAGCCTTTGCTTCTCCCAAGCGTAACAACCCAAACTGTTGCTCTAAGATGGGAGAAGCTCTTTGCAAAGTGCGGAGACCAGCCAGTGTTTGTTCTGTTGGGATTTGAGGTGGCCAGGGACAATTGATCCTGTCTATGCCTTCACTCTCTGGAGGTCTAAAGCAAAAGCCATTTTTCTCCTCTTTCTGCCTCATCTGCCTGGGACAGCAGACCTATACATAGTAGCGTGCATGTCTTCCGAAAAGCTGTGGAATCTTCCAGCAATCATTTTGGGCAATATCAATATTGAGAGGCCATTTTTAACCCATTTTTGCAAAAAGATCTTTATTGATACTTCCTTCTGGACTTTTGAGCTATTTGCATTCTATCTGATAAAAACCACAAACCGGTGGAACAAATTACTCTTTTTTTTTTTTTTGAGACAGAATCTTGCCCTGTCACCCAGGCTCGAGTGCAGTGGTGCGATCTCAGCTCACTGCAGCCTCCGCCTCCCAGGTTCAAGTGATTCTCCTGCCTCAGCCTCCTGAATAGCTGGGACCACAGGCATGCACCACCACGCCCAGCTAATTTTTGTATTTTTAGTAGAAATGGGGTTTCACCATGTTGGCCAAGCTGGTCTTGAACCCCTGGCCTCAAGTGGTCTGCCCGCCTCGACCTCCCAAAGTGCTGGGATTACAGGCATGAGCCACCACGCCTGGTCTTGAACAAATTACTTTTTACGAATTTCTAATACATGTAAGCATGTACAAATCAGTTAACAAAATAATATAAGGGAGCCATTTGTTTAAGCTACTTAATGAATGGCAATATTCATTTTTATCTTTTAATTATTTATTGAACAGGAACTTACCCACCTAACACAAACTATGTGTCAGGCACTATTCTTAATGCTTTACATGCATTCAATCTTTGAATTATCTCAACAGGGAAAAGAAGCTATTCCCATCCCCATTTTACATGTAAGAAAGCAGGCACAGAGAGATTATGTACTTTGCCAAGGTCGCCATGCCATAACGAGGTGGAGGTGAGGTTGAGACCCAGGCAGTCTAGCTCCAGGTGTGGTAGCCTGTCAAGAGATGATATCCGTGGGCAGCCTCGGAACCTGAGTTCCTCTGGTGTGCCACTGGCCATGCAGCAGTCAATGGCTGCAGCAGTTGAAAGACTATTATGTCTGCAACTTTCAAATATCAGGATCACCCAGAAGTTAACTCCAGACCCAGGAGCTCCATATTCTGCAGCTCTTCCTTCCCCATCTAGTCAAATGCAGCCAAAACTAACTTGGTTTTATTGGGGGGAGGAGAAAGGGATGGCAGATGGGACTCTGAGACAAACCCAATCAAAGAAAAACTGCTCAATTTGTTCTGGCAAACCCAGGAGCCACTAGAGTGGCAGAAAACCTAGTTTCCCAGTGAGTGCTTTATATATTCTTTTTAATAGTGAAAAATAGTGTTTGTGTGTTTCCTCCTTTCTTTTGTACTGCTATGAGATCACATGTCCATAAACATCATGCCTCCTGGAATGGGAAATGTTCTTCTGGGGATGATTTGAAGTGTGATTGTGTTCAAATGTACCAGCAAACAATGCCACTTTTATTAGTTTTGTGTTGCTTTTAGTACGTTTTCCTTGGCTATAGTTAGTTCTATTCTGTAAGCAGTTTTCAAGCTGTGCCCCCTGAAGAAAAAATAGACATCTGGGTGAATATCCACTGGATGTCTGAATGGAAGAAGCTCTCAAAGCCTTGTTGTTTTCATCTGGAGTATGGGAATAAGAATCTTCACCTTATAAGTAGTCATGCGATTCAATAGGATAGCAGATATTTAAGACTCAGCAGAGCCCCTGACACCTATTAGGCAGTTGAAAAATGTTCATTCCCTTTCTTTTGTCTCAGAGAGATTGTCAGTTTTGATTCCATCAAAATTGTGGAATAAACATTTCCTCTTTCCCTAAAATAGATGAAGGGAAGGCAGAGGGAAAATGGAAGTACCAAGAGTCAGTGAGGGGCAGGCAGGGTGGTTCATGTCTGTAATCCCAGCACTATGGGAGGCCAAGGCGGGAGGACTGCTTGAAGTCAAGAGTTCGCAACCAGCCTGCGTAACACCAAGTGAGACTACATCTCTACAAAAAAAATTAAAAATCAGCCAGATGCGGTGACACATGCCTATAGTCCTAGCTACTTGGGAGGCTTAGGCATGAGGATCACTTGGGCCCAAGAGGTCAAGGCTGCAGTGAGTTGTAATCGTGCCCCTGCACTCCAGCCTGGGCAATAGAGCAAGACACTATCTCAAAAAAAAAAAAAAGAAAGAAATGAAAAAAGTCAATGGAGAGGTGATTCCAAAAGTCGAGTTCAACTTCCTGTGCTCAGAGATCAGTGGGGTGCACATGAAATTGGTAGCATCCATGGCAGTATTACATGAGGTCCTGTGTGCAAAGGAGAGAGAACAGAAACAAAAGAGCAGGCTCTAGTGAAAGCAGATTCCAGAGGTGACGAACAGAGATTCCTTCTATAGCACTTACATCACCTGGGGTGCTTTGTGTATTCTCCTCTTTTTAAAAAATTGATCTATAATTCACATGCCATAAAATTCACCCTTTTAAAGTGTACATTGGTTATATTCTCTTCACAGGTGTTCTCTTTACCAAACCCACTATTCCTGCTCTGTGGAGTCTGTATATTTTAAAAGTAAATATACATGAGATTGCTTGAGATCATATAGAAACCATTACCAGGTATATCTAGCTGTTCTGAACTCTTTGACAGCTATTTTTTACATTGTACGTTGTCAAACACTGAAACCTTTTCCAAAGAGATATGTGGTAGGTTTCTTCATAATTTTCTAGGTAACAATGAAGGTTCTGGTTTTCTTACCTTATGAATTCTGGCTATGAAAACAGTATTTTCTATAAAACTTGATTCGATACACAAAATTTACTCAGCTATTTGCATAAGTTTGGTCTGCAGAATAAGCAATATAAAGGAAATGAACACTTCTTGTTTGTATCATTGCTTTCAAGATTTCAGAACTTTTTTTGTTTTTGAGACGGAGTCTTACTCTGTCGCCCAGGCTGGAGTACAGTGGTGCGATCTCAGCTCACTGCAAGCTCCACCTCCCAGGTTCATGCCACTCTCCTGCCTCAGCCTCCTGAGTAGCTGGGACTACAGGTGCCCGCCACCACGCCTGGCTAATTTTTTGTATTTTTAGTAGAGACAGGGTTTCACCATGTTAACCAGGATGGTCTCGATCTCTTGATCTCATGATCCACCCGCCTCAGCCTCCCAAAGTGCTAGGATTACAATTTTTTTTTTTAGTTTCCTGTTGTTTCCAGAATTACCTTTAGTTATTTGTAATGCAAATAAAACTTTCCCTGTGAAATATTTGGTATTTTTTTTAAATGACAGATTCCCCAGTAACAATAGAAAATAGATTTCTATGAAAAAGGCAGACCTGTATTATTAATGCTGAAGATGATGATTTAATCACCTCATTTAATCTTATTTTTTATTTTTATTTTAGCTTCAGGGGTACATGTGCAGATTTTTATATAGGTAAACTCATGTCACAGAGGTTTTTTGTACAGATTGTATCTCCAGGTACTAAGCCTAGTACCCAATAGTTATTTTTTCTGATTCTCTCCCTCCTCCCACCCTCAAGTAGACCCTAGTGTCTGTTGTTTCTCTCTGTGTGTCCATGTCTTCTCATCATTTAGCTCCCACTTGTAAGTAATAATGTGTGGTATTTGGTTTTCTGTTCCCGCGTGGTTTTCTAAGTATAATGATCTCCAGCTTCACCCATGTTCCTGCAAAGGACATTGTCTTATTCTTTTCTATGACTGCATAGGGTTCCATGGTATATATATACCACATTTTCTTTCTCTGATCTGTCATTGTTGGGCATTTAGGTTGATTCCATGTCTTTGCTATCATGAATAGTGCTGCAGTGAACATATGCATGCATGTGTCCTTATGGTAGGATGGTTTACATCCTTTGGGTATATACCCAGTGAGGGATTGCTGGGTTGAATGGTAGTTCTGTTTTTAGCTCTTTGAGGAATCACCACACTACTTTCCACCATGATTGGAAAGTATTTACTCTTCCAGTAACAGTGTATAAGTGTTCCCTTTTCTCCATGACCTCGCCAGCATCTGTTCTTTTTTGACTTTTTATTAATAGCCATTCTGACTGGTGTAAGATGGTATCTCATTGTGGTTTTGATTTGCATTTCTCTAATGATCAGTGATATTGAGCTTTTTTGCATATGCTTGTTGGCCATACATATGTCATCTTTTGAAAAGTATGTCTTCTGTTCATGTCTTTTGCCCACTTTTTACTGGTTTTTTTTTTTCTTGTAAATTTGTGAAAGTTCCTTATAGATGCTGGATATGAGACCTTTGTCTGATGTATAGTTTGCAAATATTTTCTCTCATTCTGTAGGGTATCTGTTTACTCTGTAGATAGTTTCTTTTGCTGTGCAGATGCTCTTAAGTTTAATTAGATCCCATTTGTCAATTTTAGCTTTTGTTTCAATTGCTTTTAGCATCTTCATCATGAAATCTTTGCTAGTTCCTGTGTCCAGAATGGTGTTACCTAGGTTGTCCTCTAGGGTTTTATAGTTTTGGATTTTACATTTAAGTCTTTAATCCATCTTGAGTCGATTTTTATATATGGTGTAAGCAAGGGGTCCAGTTTCAATCTTCTCCATATGGCTAGCCAGTTCTCCCAGCACCATTTATTGAAGAGGGAGTCCTTTCCCCATTGCTTGTTTTTGTC